GAGGTAACAAAAGCGTGGACCAATTTTTCTGCATCTTTTCGGGTCAGGATAGGCCTAATTTTCGCAATATTACGTAGATGAAAAAATGCAGTCCGTGAGGTTTGTTTTAAATGAGAATTAAAAGACAAATCTTGATCAAATGTTACTCCGAGGTTTCTTACGGTAGTGCTAGAGGCCAGTTTATGAGGCCTGTGATGGATATGAGACGATATATCACAGACACTGACACCCCCTCCTTTGTCTTCTGGCCATCAAAGATAAAAACAGTCCCTCCAGAGAAAAGCGTTGGCAGGGTGCTTCATCCCAGCACTTTTTTTACATGATGCACTTAGGTTACTGTGACCTCACAAAACGTGGTTTTGGCCATAACTCAGGTCATGATCATTAATTATGACAAAATGTCGCACATGGGCTGCAACAGTGTGAGACTCACAGTACGATAACCATCTCAGAGAGTATCACAGAAATGGTTGAACAGATATTTTACTGCAAGAACTGAAACTTGAAACATTTTGTCAGTGGACGTTTGTGTTAAAATCTCTAATGAGAAAAAAACTCAAATAACGGAGAGATTGAACGAACAGTTGGATTTTTTTTCTTCCAGTATCGTAGATAAGTAAATGTACACGTTATGATAACTTTCATATCACGGTAAATATCGCTGGTACATGGCTGCAACCCGACTACACACAAATGTCAAACAGGATAAAATAATGAAGGTCAAAGGTCAAAGGTCAGCTTGACTGTGACATCATCATGTTTAACGTCATATCTCAGGAACAGAATTGGTAAGGTGGTAATTCTCCTTTCAGTGTGACACTGTTGATTGATCACTGAATGTATCCGTCAGTTACAGTCCTGGTCTGTGTTGGTCCTCTCAGTCAGAAGCAGAGCTCCGAGGCGTACCAGGCCGACCTGAAGGCTCAGATCGAGGCTCAGCAGCGGCGCCGCAGTGAGCAGAGAGCTCAGGAGGAGAGGGAGCAGCAGCAGGGTGTGATCCTGCAGCAGCTGTACGAACAGAGGAAAGACCACATCCTGTCCAGACCTACGTCTCACACCAGCGCCCCCCATCCGTTCAGACGAACAGAGGGATGCACCAGGTCTGCCTCCAGACAGCAACACACAGGGTCAGCCTGCGCAGCCCCACGTTACTCTGATGGTTTATATGAATAAAAGTCTGTCCACATTGTGAGCTTCACCTTCAGTCCTTTCACACAGAGTTCCCACAGATCCTTACAGACTTTCCAAACCTGTGTTAAACTGTAGGAACCCTGTAACGAGACACAACCAAACGACTTCTAGATAACAGCTTCCAGACCTCAACATTTATGTTCCAAAGAAAAGTGAGTGTTGTGGCATAAGCCAGTTTATTGTGATAATTTGAGCTGCACTTGCGCACTAGTCAGCAGAGGGCGCTGCTGACTGTTGGTTGTTGTTGTTAACCAGAGTTGAAATAAAGACCATGGCTGCTGCTGCCAAGAGTATGCTCTTCTCTTTCGTCTGTTTAGCTTCTTAAAACTTAAGTTAAGCTCTTCACAAGTGTTTCCAGTATCAACAGCTGTGAGGACTTCCTGAGAGCTGCACCCTGTCGGGGGTTTTATCCTGTTTGCATTCACACGGCTGATCCAAACGCTGACGTGCCGTCCTGTGAAGCCTGATTTATGTTTCAACAGTTTGAAGAGTTGCTCAACAGAAATATTTTCAACATCGCTCACCTGTAGAGTTCTGTTATGTTGCAGACGACCAGTGTGGATTTCATTGATGAAAATTACGATTCGGTGAAACACAGGGCGGCAGATGTGCTTAAGTCTGAGTTTTTATGAGTGAGCAGCAGCAACTCCTCCATCTTATTTGCCAGAGAGTGGACATTTGCCAGGTGTATAGACGGGAGCAGAGCGCGTAATCTCCGCTGCCGTAGCCTCACCAGCACCAGTGCAGGACTGATCAATGTGTGGGAGTTCCTCTCTGGTGAAGGTGACCAGTGAGGGGCAGCAGAAAGCTAAAAAATCTAACTAAACCAGGAGAAGGAGAGAGCGAAGTCCCGAAGCGGCCATCTTGGTTCTAAATAGAGTCAGTTGGTTGCTCACAGATGGACTGTGAGCTGATCAGTCAGTAAAGATACAGTTGATAAGTTAAAACATGTATGCAGCTGTCTGTGGAGATTACACTAAATATGACCATACAAAACTTTGGGCAGAGCTGTGGAGACGACTGAAGCCTTTCACTGGAGCACGAAGCACAAACGTTGTGCTGCTTTTTAACTTTTGTCGGACAACTGTAAATCAGACTGTGAGCCAGCTGACATTTGGCACAGGAACGTCACTTTTGCTTTGACGAGTCAAAATCAGGTTTTGTTTCCTCCATCACGTATCTGCTCAGTAAACCTGGACTTCACTGTCGCTCCATTGTTCTGTGTTTCCTTCGTCACCTGTTGTTTGTGTCACAGATGTATGATAATAACTTGACACTGGCCCACAGGAGGTCAACCACGCTTTGAGGCCAATTTTTTGTAGTGGCCAAACAGTGGTATGACATCACGTGATGCCCAAAAAGACTTTTCCCATTGACTCACATCATAAAAGAGAGGTCTGTGTGGATACATGTTTTGAGTGTCACAGCTCCTGAGAGACGACTCGTCTCATGATCACGATTTGATCTGTTCAGTCTGATGACGTTTGGAAAGTCTAAAGAGCTGCGAGATTAAACCATTTTATCTCCATTGAAGTTAGCGGAGCGCTAAACAGGAAGTCAGCTGTGTTCAGCTGTGCTCGGCTGTCACCCCCCCCCCCCGAAGCAGCCTGTGGTCACATGACCCCCAGATTTAAAAGGCAAGCCACACCTCCTTCTCTCTCTCTCTCTCTCTCACTCTCCCACCAGCTGCAGGCCATCCTGCAGCACTCCAGGCTGTTTGTCTCTTTGTTTTGGTTTTCTTACTGCTACCTTACCTAACAAACAGTCTTGCATTCAGTTTTTGGTCCCACCATTTTCATTGTGTTGCTTCCCGTGAGCCAGGGTTGTAACATAATGGTGGCTCGTCCATTTCTGATCATTTTCCCCTAGGTTTCTGTTGGTTCCTTGGTGTTCCTTTGTTGCTTGCTGGAGTGTGGTGGCTGTGTGCTTCTCTCCTTTCTGGTTTGGGTTTGGTTTGGCGAGTATGGTTGTCATCTGTAGGCCACACATTTCAGTGCTAGAGCTCCCTGGTTATGTAGGGTGAGTGTTCCAGCTGGACTTTGGTCCTTCCAACGGTTCACTCTTTTGTTGTTTTTCCTTTTTTTGTTTTCGAGGGTATCCTGGGTAGGGGCACGCTCCAAGTTTCTGCAGTTGGCTGTGTTTTGGCTTTCTGTGGAGCTTTGGTTTTTGCGTTTAAAGCCGCCTCAAGCCTGGTAACCTCAGAAGATACTTAGGTTTTAGTCTAGTGAGGCAGGTGTCCAGGGTTGCTCCACTCTGCTCTGTGTTGCACTGGTTTTGTGGTTTGAACTTGACAGCCATGCTCCCTGTTTGTTTGTCTGGAGGGAGGGAAGAGAGAGCATTTGTGTGAAGTTAGGTGAGTTGTGCCAGGAGTGGCACTGTGTTGGGTCCATGATCCTAACTTTAGTGTGTTTAGTGGCTTCTGTGTTGAGCTCAGTGTGGGCTTGTGTAGATGAATATTACCCTGAGTGTTTCTGTGACCTTGTGCATAACCCTGATTACTAGCAGGCTCAATTCTGTGCTTGTGTGGGGCAAGTAATCTTTTGTGCTGCCTTGCTGGCTTGAAGGGTAATAGTTGTCTACTTTGGTGGATGGTAGTGTAGCCACTTTGTGTCAGCTGTGTGCTGTGTTGGACCCGTCTTGTGTTTTGTGCTGTATGCATAGCTAAACGAGCAGCAGTGGTTGCTTTGTGTGAAGCCCCATTTGTGTGTTTGATTGCTTTATATGTGTCCCTTAAGGCAGTGAAACTTGTCAAGCAAACTTTGCTGAAACAGTGGCAACTCTTGATGATTTCCTTGCACAGCCCTGTGAAGACATTCTCGAAGAGTTCACCAAAGAAAAACTTCTTCAGCTGGCATCTAGCTATGGTATTGAAATTTCTAATGATGATAAAAAGCTGAAAAAGAACATTAAAGATTCGATTAAAAAAGAGCTTATGAGTAGAGGCGTGTTGAAACCGTCTCCTCCAGCAGCTGAGTTTGTCATGCCTGTGTCCCCTGTTGCATCTGAGGCTGCAATCCAGCAACGGCACAGGGAGTTGGCTCTAAAAGAATATGGCGAGACACTGGAGCTTTTCAGACTGTGATGCTCTCCCATATAGTGACCAGTCTTTTCTTGGTTCCTATGCTTTGGTTAAGGGGTTTGGTATTGAGATTTTTGCCCTACCCCTACACAAACTCACACTGAACTCTGACTTGGTATCTGGTGAAGTTGCTTCCAAATGATGTTGTTTCGTTGCTCCTTGGAAATGATCTAGCTGGGAGCCGAGTTTGTGTTGCTCCAAAAGTGAGTTCTGACCCTCGGTTAGACATTGCTCCTGATGATGCTCAGTTGGTGACGGAGCCGACGGCAGATCCTACTTTGTGCAGTCTGTTCAAAGACGCTGTGTCAGAGGATGACAGCGCTGCAGAGCCTTTTGAACAGGTTTTGGTTGGTTGTGCTGGTCCTCTTCCATGTTGTGCGTCTGGGGACCAGGATCCTGTGTTGTTGCCGCCTGCTGTTGAGGTTTTTTTTTTTCCCAAGTTCAAAACAACTTTATTTAAACAACTATTTTTTACTGTATTTGGAACATTAAGACACAATGAAAGAACGTGATAAAGAAGAACTGCAAAGTCAAATGACTTTTCATTCCCCTTATAATGTTTATAATGTGAAAAGCTCAAAAACAATGTTTTTTTTTTTTCTCCTTCTCCCTTCTTTTCTTGTCACTCTTTTCTCATGTATATAATGTAACGGTGTCAGTAAACAACAACAGCAACAAACACAACAGTATGAATAGGAACACTATTTGAATATTTGAACACTATTCCTTGAGCCCTGGCATTTGAGCTCAAGCAACAGCTTGTCAAGTTCTACCTCACTGTCATCAGAGTCCTCCTTCTCTTTGTCCTCCTGCCGGCCCCCATGATCTTCACCCTGTGGGTGGTGGACCTGAGCCCTGTTGTTCGAAACCTAGATAAGGGATTAAGCCGGGATATGTTGGTTATCCTGGCTTAACTTAGCGTTGATTCGGTTGTTCGAAAGCAGAGGCACATATGTTGCCATGGAGATTTATTCTGTGCACTCAGTCTGCTCCCGACCAGGTTAACAACCAGGCTTAGTTTAGCCCGGTGCCTTATCTGTCCAGTCAGCTGTCACTGCGATCCGAAATCAATGTGTTTCACCGTCATTTCATGTTCTTATGTACGTATTTGCCTTATTTTGAACAAAATACATGAAGCCTACAATAATAAAAAAACATTTAACATTTAAAACATTCTTTTTGTCACAGCCTAATTATTCATGTGATAATGTGTTTGTCTGTATATCTATGTTATATGTTCAATGTCCTTTATGTTGGAACCTGTTTCAATGAGCTGTACTGGAAACAAATTCCACCAGCATCAATCAATCAATCAATCAATCAATCAATCAATCAATCAATCAGCATCGTCAGGTGCATACAGGGTGCATATAATATTGGGAGCAATCTGGGCTTCAGCATCCAGCCCAAGGACACTTTGACATGCACATATCCTCTCACTCTCCCACCAGCTGCAGGCCATCCTGCAGCACTCCAGGCTGTTTGTGTCTTTGTTTTGGTTTTCTTACTGCTACCTTACCTAACAAACAGTCTTGCATTCAGTTTTTGGTCCCACCATTTTCATTGTGTTGCTTCCCGTGAGCCAGGGTTGTAACATCACAGATTTTAAAATCACTTGTGTGTCCTCAGTTTGACAGACGTCTCTTTTATAATGGAGGAAAATGATTTCTGGGCTGCAGGTCGGAACACCTTCTCACCACAAACCAACCGCACCACAGTTCGTTTGTAACCGGACTGAGACCACCTCTTCAAGAAGGTCTCAGTCCGGTTGTTTTGGGGTGTGTGTGTGTGTGTTGGGGGGGGGGGGGGGGGGGGGGGGGGGGGGGGGGGGGGGGGGGGGGGGGGGGGGGGGGGGGGGGGGGGGGGGGGGGGGGTCAGGGTGAGTTCAGCTGAACTGAACAGGTGTGAACGCAGCCTTGATGTAGTTTTGTTGTTGTGCCCTGCGGACATTTTGAAAAGCTGTATTTTATGTCAGCGCCTGGCATCATGGCGTCACAGTCAGAGTACAAAAAACATGTGCGTCCCACGACAGGAGAGACCTCATGTTCTCTGTAACTGGGTGGAAAAACACATCTGCAGATATCGGTCTCAGCAACCGTGCAGTGAGGACGAAGGTGGAGGACAGGCCGCCTGATCTGACGTAACTTACAGTTGATATTGTGCAGCGGTGAGAATTAAAATACAACATTAATTAAACGAGTCAGCTGTGTTTTCTTGTCATACTGTGGTTACCATGGAAACAACATCCAGTTTGATCAGTGTTAGATTTCAGGTCTGTAATGTTCAGAGACGTCTGGTGTCAGCTCCACCCGTGACTCTACGCCTTCGCCCTCCGTACGTCACATGACATTCTGGTAACATGCAGTGCTGAAGACGAGGGACAAGTTACATAAAAGCTTTTATTGTGAAAGAGTCATTGTGCAGCTGATGTAGGACCAGTCTCACCAAACCCTCATCAGGACCTTCTCTAATGCCCGACTGCCTCCAGGCCGTCGCACTGCGTTCATTCATTACTGTGCTTAGTTCTTTACTTCTA